CCCCAAAACCCCAAAACCCCAAAACCCCTCATAACAAAATATACCGCTTTAGTGGGAAATTAAATGAGAAAATCAAGTTATATATAAATTCTAGTCTTTGTAACTTCAACTGTCAATCAATTTTATCGATGTTTAATGGCTTTAATCTTAAAAATCTAATTATCTTGCAAAACACGTAATAAACCAATGCATTAGGAATTGTAATTCCTACGCAAATCACAATTGACCAGTAGTCTTCCCAAGTCAAGAAATGGTAGAGAGGTCCACCTAAAATTTTAGTACATGTATAATTCACCAAACAGTAGACCATACCATAAACAATCATGTACTTTAAATGATAGGGAACGAATATAATCTCGGAAATAATAACATTTAGTAGAGCACAGAGTCCAGGGAGGAAATGCTTATAAATCATAAGCTGATAGTAATAATAAGCATGATTGGGGTCTGTTTTTGCAAGTTCTTCAGTATATTCTATTACTTTGATATGTATTGTAGTCCAGTAGATAGTAATAATAATGAACTAAGAAATTAGGGCCAACTCAGTAAGATAACCAGAAAACTCTCTGAATCTTAAGCTGCTTTTACATTTATCACTTGATGATGCTAGAATAGTCAGAATGATTGAAATATTGGTAATATGCATGCCCCAATCAGTGAAATATAGAAATAATCTTACTGTGTCTAATATAGACAAGGCTGCAAAAAATGTCAATAATGATGGAATTAAAATCATAATTCTTGCCGAGTTTAATTTTTCATCTGAAATATACGAGGGCACAGCCGATTTCGAAAAATCAAAGCATTAATTTACAAGTTCCTCTTACGTTTTTCCTTCATAGTAAATATTCTATTTGGTATTTGCTGGTTGCTTCATTCTTATTATTTGATATTGGTAAGTTTTTCTGTTTGCAATCAATTAAAATATAAAAATTATATAGTCGACAAAGAACTTATCTATAATGAATTAATTACTTCATTATTATCTAAATAAGTTTCAATTTCCAATTCCATAATTGTCATAAGATTGAAAGCTTTGGGGTTTTGGGGTTTTGGGGTTTTAATTGATTGCAAA